GTCCAATTCTACCATTATAGTAACGCAGAGAGCTTGAAAGGAGCAGTAAGATGGAGGAATGATCAAGCCAATGCATGTAATGCTGCAACATATAATTCGGAGGATCTCTCATCCATATTCGCCATTGGAGAGACATACTTAGAGAACTTAATCATGCGTTTTGTGAATAAAATAAGGTTTCAGGTAGATCCTATCAATCCTATAGTTTACTTAATTAACTTTAGCGTAGCAAAGCCGCAGTGGTCCAAAAATGGAAATAAATATCCCATCCAGCTAAGAATAATTTGGCTGAGGTTTTTGCAGTCAATCCTTTGCGCTTGGTCTTAGTAAATTTTAATTCCCTTCTTCCATCCTAGCATAACATGATTGCTATTTTTCAGCCAATAGAAAAGCAGTTGAAGAAGGAATATTTTTAGAAAGGTTGAGGTGAAAGGCAACGTTTTTGCCTCCAAAGCATGCATAAAACAGTACCATTGGTTTCGCTGCAAAAAATCATAACTTACAATTATGAATAAGAATTCATAAGAAATTATTAGGCACTTTTTAAACAAACACTCGTGCAAAGTGTTAGCTCTTCATTGCGCACCAGAATTTCTTAGAATTGAATGGGAATAAACAGCATGGGAAATATGCATGCGGAATTCTGCCATTTTTTAATAATCAAGTTCCTACTTTTATCGGGGTCCTAGATTTTTCAAATTCGCTCAACATATTTTGACAAATCAGAGTGACAAGACCTAATTCCCATGGCAAAAAAAGGAAAAGGTAAGAAATATTATTGCAAACAACATGCTTGAATCATAACTCAAAGTTTGTTTTATAGAGCCCTTAAATTTATGCAGCAATTATTTGCGGACAGATAAACGTCCAAGTTGACACTCAAAGTAATTTCAAGCAACATTATTTGCTTAATTTTAAGTTTTGCATCATTATTTATTCTAGTAATGAGACTTTGGGAAAAAAAATAGAGCTGCAGTCCAGTGAAACCTGAATTAGAGCGCTTGTGACCAACACCTCATATCGTGTTATACCATGAACAACAGATTTGTAAAAATTCTGCCATTTTTTTACTCGAAACAGAGCCACCACCTTAACTGCTGTCTCTAATAACCAACAAAATTTCCGGAGTAAAATAAATGTATATGAAGAAATGAAAAATTTCTGGGACAGTTTCATGCAGCAGTGTAAGCTGCATCCCACCCAACGCATATTATTTTAGATGTAAAAGGTAGATAAATAGATGGCATACATTTTTTCCAAAACTTTCATGCTAAAAAATTCAAAAAGGCTTCTTTTACAAAATACTTATCTAAGGCCGATTGGATGAACATACGCCAGGAAGGCAATTTATCTACATCAAAACCATAATTCAAAAATTTTTGGTATAAGACCCATTGCTAGGTTGCAGGATTTATAAATAAAAGAACGTATTTAATCCGCATTACTTTACCATGATTTGCAAGCAAATTTTACTACAACAAAATTTTCTTGTTTGGCTAATTAAAACCTTCTTAATTGAAGCACACTTTAAAACAGTGTCCACGAAAAGCAACTAACAATTATTTGTGAAGTTAAACACATGTATATAATGTGCATTAGAAGTAAAGAAATTAAAGGAAAAATTTGGCCATCCATAAAACTTTATCTACCGTGTCATTATTTGAAATGGATCATTTGTTGCCGTTTTGACGACTGTAATTACGCATTTTACCCGCTTTTGATAAAACCCCTAAATTTAGCTGAATAGCATCACAACAATTTTTTATTTACCGAACTATTAAATGACGGTTCTTCCTCTTAGTTATCCTTTTTGCAAAATCATAAAATATATATAGAGTCATTGTACTCTGCTCATACCTAGATACACCAACGTTTCTTATGTTGAAAGCTGACTATCTGCATTCGTCATCCGGGTCACAAGATGAATTGGGACATTCATGGTTCGGAAACTCCATCCATATTTGCTACAACTTTAAACCTTTACCATTTAAATAAATTGGAATTTTCAAGCAATATTGGTCTTTGAGTTTCCACTGGACATTGAACTATAAGCTACTAACTGCTTATAAAGCAGCTGACTGGTTTGCTCGTAAAGTATACGCGTAGCTTTGGCCTATCAAGCCTGATGGTGGCAGTTCGCCTTCATCAAAAGGCAAAAAAGGAAGAGCAGATATAAATCTTGCTGCCTTTCCATTCTACGCTTTTGAAAATTAAAAATTTGTCGAAATTTATCTACCACTTTGTAGCCTTAACAGGATGCCCACTCCAATTTGCTCGCATCATCTCCACATGGCCTAAAGCACTTTAAGAGCAGTCACAAAGTACATAAATGGAAAACCGTTGTCGGTCTCTTAAGAAATAAGTTCAATTAAGGAAGGACATCTAATGCTTGATAAGTCGATTAAGATAATGCGAATAACAATGCAAGTTTTGCTAATAACTGATGAGGCATTATCAAAATATGAAACACTTACTAAAAAAGTGGGTAATAGAATGAATGGTTTATAATACCAAAAGGTTTTTTCTCATATACGCTTAAAAATATGTTTAAGGCCCTTATAACAGATTATTCATGTTCATCGGCTAAACGTTTTCCATATTTGTAGAATGACCTGTGGCCTGTTTTGGAGTAGCCAATCCCGAGATATATAAACTGACGCAGAATATATGGCCGAATCATAAGTTTTTCTGTCGGTTAAGAATATTAACTTCAACTAAACTATTCGTAATCTTTATTAGGCGAAGATTAAATCAATATTTTTTATTCACAAAATATCGCTTTTCCGACTTACAACTTTCGAGATAGTAGACAAGCGCTACGCAAATCAAGGCATGGCTAGTTCTTTAAAATGTATCCGCCAGATATTTTATTGTCTACGTTGTAGCTTAGGAGTAAGACACAACTATCAGGGCAGAACGAAGCAGATGTTATCAATTAGAAATTAAAATTTGTTATCACACGCTGAAATTTTCCCTCAGAATGGAGATAGCAAATATTTATTGTAGAGGTCCTTTAAATTTTGGCATCTACTTTTGATCTAAAAGACTGGTAATAAGAAATTTAAATTGGCATTATGAGACTTAGAAGCATTTGAAAATGGGTAAGTTAGACCTGGGTGTTTTTGTGCAAGCAAACTAAAGTACCACAATTTGTTTAAAAAGGAAACAGTCAAACCCATCTATTAGCTTTTTTGCATAAAAACAAAAAAGGGTAAGTTGTTGAAGGGGACAGAGTCAGTTAATGATGAGGCTGGATTCCCAGCCTTTTGAATTACGGTGACCATTCTCTGTTCGATCTACTATGCCCTCATCTGATGCCACATTGTTTCATGTCGTCTCCAGTGTAGTTTACTGTGCGCAAACTGTATTGCAAGCGAAATACACAAAAAATAAAGGAAGCATTGGCTTAAGGTATGCTTAAGCATTCGTCTACTACGATTTATCCGGCACAAAAAGGTCAAAGCAAAATAAACACGTCCATGGTTTGCAGGAACACTAAGACCCGTTTAAACAACTAAACCTAACAGAAATCAAACCATTTTCCGTCCCAAATCACAATTATGTATGTGTGCATATTGGTAATTTTGCTTTTAAATCAAGGTATCCGTTTTTATTTTACTATCCACTTAACTGAAACACAATTTTATATGTATGTTTCGTTTTGTTAGAAATAACTAGATAAAATCTTGTTTACTATTTCTGTGAAGTTTTTGCCAAGGTAGCATTATTATATAAATGGTAGCTTCTTAAGAAAGTTCAGTCGAAACATTAAAGTATTTATTTATAGTTATTTATTTCCATAATTTAAGGTTTAACAAGCGGTAACGTTTAACATCGGTTCCGTAAACTTTGCTTTACAGCTTTTTATTTTATTAATTTTTAGCTACCTAGTAATTAGAGTTCTGGTTTTCGTTTTTTTTGAAAAAGTTAATTAATGAAACAGTCCCTTTGCCCCCAGTTTAGCATGATTGTAGCTGGTAGAGTCTATAGATTCAATGAACCGATGCTTTTATGTGTTCTGTGATGCAGTAGATTTAACATAGACAAGTTGTATATCCATTGTCATTATATGGACAGAACTAATACATTTGAGTAAATGCCAGTCCCTCGTGAAATGCGAACAGATACATTTTGTAAAAAGAAGCGGTTGTAAGCGTAAAACAATTGATTCGACTTAACTGATTGAGATACCAATTAATATTTCTTGTCGTTTCGGAATGAGTCTTTGAACAAACAGAAAATGTATAGGGCACGAAATTAAGAAAACACTTCTCAAGTATGCTCTTTTTTAGCAATAACTACTTGTATTCCAATGCACTAACCATTATTTAAAATATTTCGAGGACCATTCGAAATACGCGCATATTTAGCACCGGTCGAGCTTCACTTGCGAAAACCGGTAGTTTGAAATATAAGCTATCACATACCTCGAACCCCATCGTAGATTTTACCTTATTCGTATCTGTAGCCGCCCGTTTGCAGTCAACCTACATCCCCCCAATCCCATCAAAATGTCGTGCCTATTTATACAAATTTTGGTGCAAGGAAGATGCAGCAATGGATGATAAAACCACATATTGTTATATAACTTTAAGGTTTCAGTGAATATGAACATTTTTTCTACACTTGCCCTCTGCAAGTCGCGCTATTGATTGGTTTAACATTTTATTTTCTTAAAAATATCTGATTGGCCAACCGGAGACTTTCCATCTGAAGCGCTCTAGGCGCCTGCGCGTGTGCGTTCTAATCTTTTTTGCCAAATAAATTAACAGTGCATATGGTCTTATAATACTGTTAAAAGATTTGACTTTGCCAATAGGCCAAATCATGAACAAACAATAAGCGTCTTCCCCAATAAACGCAATTCATGCAAGTGGGATTGTATTACCAAATTTGGCGGCTTTGTGTCATAAAATTACGTGCTCATTGCAGTGTTAGATAAAACTCATGCTCCCAGTAGTTTCATGCTTCATTGTGAAATAAACTAAAAAGAACACTGTTTATGTCATGTGTATATGTAATATTCCTACGGTATTAATAATGGCGATATTATGCAACTGAAGAGTAAATAAATGCATTTTTGACGACGTTGTGTTATTTGGTGAGGCACATATACGAAAAATAAATTCACTTTTTAAAGATCTCACAATTGCTGCAGAGCCGGATAAGAAGTACGTCTTAAGGAGTAATTCCATTAAATTCCCTCTTTCCGTGAAAGCAAAGCTAGTTTTAGTTTACTCACAAATATATGAATGAACATAATTGTGGGAGTTAATTAGCGAAATTCCTTGTTTCTCCACTAAACCAATAATATGTTCAGTGGGTGCATTCCTAGAATGAGTACCCAGGTTTCATCTACAAACTTCAGATAATGCAACCAGTTTTAGCAAGGCGGAATCAGCATATTGGTCATTAGGACAGGAAGTTCTTGTCCAATTTTCAGTGTACTAATTTTTAGATATAATCTCTCGTGGAATCATAGATGTTTTTGTGCCTTAATGGGAGACGTGGGCCTTTGAAATATACCTTGCTATTGTAAAAATTAGGCTAGAGTAACTGCGAAATATGGACACCTCATTTAAGGACCCAGTTCGGCCCTTATTTTATCACAAGCTTAATACTTGATTTATGAATAGTTGCGTGTGTTTAATATTTCTTGTTTAAAATGCTACGTTTCATTTATTAAATGTAGAAATCTTGCTTCTTTGTTCTATGTAGGACAATCACTTTGGAAGGGAAATGGTCCCCTGTGTTATTAAGCCAACTCTGGAGTAATGCACTTTTAGCAGTCGAAGTATTTTAGGCACATCACTGAACCTGACGTCTTAAGTGCTCAGAGGGTAAAATAGTCTCCTTATACTGAAAACTACCTCAAATTAAATCATTTGTACCATTTTTAAATAATCATGTTCTCATGCAAAAATTATGTGCCGCGAGATTTGGTGCTAGATATTTTTTTCCATTTTAAAGTGCACCGTCTTAAATTAATAACCCGTGATTGTAGGAATCTGCTTTGATTTGTGATTAAGTGTAAAGGGGTTGCTGGCTCACATATACCAAGCAAGATTAGGTTTTGCACCTCTCCTTTTGGAATCTCATTAACTAAGGCGTACTTGATTCCCGAACAATTACTTCATGAGATTGAAGAAATTAAAATACAATTTGGGGTTATCCAAACTTTCTATTTACAGTAATTTTAGCATTTTTAATAACATTTAATGGTGAAGAAAGAGTATAATTAAAAAACCAAATTGAGAATCGCGATTTCAGACAGCGCATTTTTAATCCCCATTTTTAGGTACCCCTTATTTAAAGACTTTTATCGAAAATATTTTGGTTGACACAAAAAAAACATCTATGGGGAGTTCTAACCATAATTCAACTATTCTCTTGGATAACTTAACAAATCCACATTTGGCCATGGGGGACATAGTTACTATGTTAGCCTCGAAAGGTACTAATTAATTGATAGATGAGATGGTTGTTTCTAATATAACCGTCTTTGGTCATTAAATTTGAGTGTCCGTTGTGCAGCAGGAGCTTGCTGTGGGTAAAATTTTAGCTTTGGTTTGATGAATACAGTCCTCACTAATTCCTACTCTGTGAACATTTTAGTTGTTACCACGTAATCAAAAGAGAAACCATCATAATTTCCTCTATAATTGCATGGCTAATTAAAAAATTACAAAAGGTTTGCTAATCTGTCACACAGATTTTATTTAAGTTAAAACTAAACATCTGATAGGCGGTTATGTCGTAATGAAGGCAAGAAGAATGGAAACTACCATGAGAGCACTATAATTACTGCAGTAAACACACCGAAACGTCAAATAACAGTAAGTCGACCTCTGACCTACCCCTGCAATTAATATTGCCCTCTCAAAAACTCTGCAGAAATCTTCGCACATTTGTAAGTCATTGTTACCATGATCGCCATGGCAGCTAATGATCACAGTGCCTTATAGCAGCGTTGAAAATGCGTAAATTTGTAGCGACACTAATCTGACCAACCTTGATTTCACTTCAAGCGTTAACTTGAAGAGCAACAACCAAACTACTTACAATTCGTGATTTTCTACAAAAATTGCTTTTAAAAGCATTAAATATTTAAAGTGCTTCTGAGCAAAGGATGAAATTTCAGTTTATCCTATGGTTCGCTTTGACTAGAAACCCAAACGTATGTCATTCTCGATAAAGGTAAGTCTGTATAAGCCCTGGTATTGTTTTTAGGACATCACTGAAGTTTAAATTTGAGGGATAAAATTTGATAGTACTGGACTTATAGTAAGATAAGACTGCTTTTATGACTTTGCTGTCAGGAAGATTAAGCGATACTACTCCTTTAAAGACAAATATTTATTTGGAAACTTCCTCTACCTTGATTTATTCTAGGGGGTGAGTATTCTTTACAGCGATTATTGATGAGTAATAGCTAAATAATGCAAAAATTTAATCCTTTAAGTAGTACCTATTTCACGTCACGGCGGTTAAGACGATGATGTTTCCTTCTCCCATGTCAATATAATTTACTTGTAGTTAGGCCTTCCCAATGGATTTGCTAATAGTTTTGAAGAAAATCAGGCCGTCTTTCAAAATTTCGACTACAGAGAACACTTAGAATAGAAATTCCTTAAAACTAGATGCTACTTCTCCGTGTTAAGTAACTGCAGCAAACAGCTGTTCGACTACACCCTTTGGGCGACAAGCGGTCAGTGAACACAACCTCGTGGCTGAGCGGACACCACCAATGCCTGAGGAACAAACGAACTCTGACCCCTTCCCACAGACTTTGATAATCTGCAAGCCTTATCCATTCTATATGCATATAAGGTGTCCTCATCTACTCAGTCTTCTCGATGTGAGGGTCTAAACTACAGGTGGAAGAAAGAAAAGATGAACCCGTTACATGGCACTATAAATATTTCCACTCCATTTGTCACACTTTCAGCGCACATAGAACCCTGTTCCAGTAGCCACCCAGCCTACAAAGAATGGATGATTGGTTTTGAATTACCAGAATAATATTAGGTAATCAAATTGTAGTGGAAAAATCGTTAGATGTACGTTTTAGATGAAGTGGTTTCTGACGAGTAAATTTCGTAAGAGTCATCATATATGAGAACGGTTGAATTTTGCATAAGACTTATGCATTTATTATGCAAAATTGGATTAGTTCAGATCTTGTCACTTTCATCTGCTTATATTTATGAACGAAAGAATAAGTAGCTAGCTTTCGCTCTCATTACGGTGTTTAAGATTATTGTTTGACGATTTCCTCTTGCCCAATATCCCCCAACTCTTGAATTCCCGCTTTAAAAGAATCATTTACTCGTTTTGAAATAAAGGCTTTAATTATTTTAGAAGGAATAAGCAATGACTAATGTCAGTCTATCGTTAGTAGTTGGCTCCCTACTTTTTAGAATTCTTAGATAAACGTGGGCCGTGGTTAAATAATTTCCATTTGAACCACCTAAGCTAACACAGAGATCAGGTAGTTGTAAGTGTGGAAGAAGAAATTTCGGGTGTGGGTGTTTAATTTTGAGCATGTGATTACCTTAGAAATTCCGCTACTCATTGTTGACTGCCAAACGATTTTGATCAAGGTTACTTATTGACGCTGTTTAATTGAAAGCACTAAGCAGAAAGACAGTAAAGTGTCACCATAAGACGGTGGTTAGGATTCCGAGATTCAGAGAGGGTACGCTATAACACTCATAATTCACTCTTGCATGCTACCACTGTTCTGCTAGATTTATTTACGTTTATTAGCGGGTTTGAGATTGCAAATAGATTGATAATAAGGCGTAAGATCTCAATGTGGAGAGTTTTTTAGAGGTTTGGGAATTTATTATTCAGTGGTATTTGATTGCCGCTGAGTGTCATTTAGGTTCGGTGTAAGCTCAATAGGTTAGAACACTTTAACCAACACATTAGAGGGCCAACTTTCTCCGTACCATGTCTTTGCCTATGAAAGATGAAAGTTTCATATTGTTAATGCTGACTTAGTAAACAAAAATTACCGATTATCAGTTATCAGTTTTGAAGGTTATTAAGAGATGGCAAGCTATTTACGCTATACATTTGCTTTAAATCTAGTAAATATCAGTAAATTCATCCCACTCATTTGGCATTCCTTGCCTTAAGTTCATAAGTTTCAACTTCAATAGGCATTTTAAGGGATTCCCCTAGATTAGAATTACTCTTTGGAGATACTTATTGTCTAGCCTACTGATTGACGGTAAGTAATAACACATAAGTACAATTTGATGTTTTAAGTGGGCTTTAATTGTTTGGAAGCAGCGATCTGAAATAGCGAGTTTAAATGTTAATCATATATCTTGGATATGCTTTAAGAGGTAATATGACGAGTCGAGGCACGCAAGAATTGTCTTTTACTTAATTACCATTCAATCTGGGCAGGTGTTCTCAGTCGGAATTTCAGTATCGCATAAATCCTCAGTTAACTGTCGTCGCGCACTGTAGACAGTCCAACGATTCGTGAGTTTTACTCCTTTATCTAGGGGTTCCAGATTGTCTATTTTTAGTCAGTGATCACAATCATGCCATGTTTCTCTGACTACTTGCCCGTGGCCATTAATTAGCTTTATACGATTGGCTTACATGTTGACTCATTTCACCATAACTCCTGCTGTTACAAGAAGTACCAGGCAAGTGTACATTCATTTCCCCTTCTTTATTTTACATGCATGCATACAAACACATAAAAGAGGTTGGCATTCCGCAAAATTCCTCTCCCTTACCGAACGCTGGGTGTTTAGCCTTCTCCCGAGGAGGAGTTCATCCAAATCAGCTGTTCTGGTGCCACATCCACACCGAAGGCGGCCAAACAGCGCGTGTGTGCATGTGCATGGGTGCGCGGTCCGCTAATCGCATAAAACCGTGATAATTTAAAACGCATTGATCATCGTTATCGCTCCACTGACAGAGGAGGAGAAGGAGGAGGAGGCGTCAAAAAGGGTGGTGGCGACAGTTGCGCGCCTCCTGCTAAACAGGCCCCTTCGTCTCCCAGTGAGGGCGGATATAAAAGCACTCCGCTTAAACCGCCAAACTACCTACACATGCATCCCAGAATATACATACACACTGGGTGTCGTTAAAATACAATAAAAGAGGTGTTTGTCCTACTTCCACGGTGGGTGTGGGCAAAGTGGAAAATCATGTGATATTCCTCCATCATTCATCATCGTTAAGCCTCCAGTTCGCCTTTAAGAGGTAACAAATCTTTGCGCACACGGAGAGTTTTTTCCGGTTTCAAAGTTGGTGCAAGTACAGTCGCTCCTTAAAATTTGATTGACTACTGAGGGAATGCCGTCAACACACGCTAAGGGAACTTTCGAAGAAAAAACACTTGTGTTTTTAAATCTTCTGAGTCTTCCACTAATGAACATTGTCGTTGCTATGACAACGCACCTATACGATTCACCGCCTTTAATGATAAATGACTCTGGGTTAATTTGTGGTTCATAAATTAGTTAAATACGGCAGAGCGATCCATGAGAGTTTTGCCTTGAGTCTTTTGCAAGACTTATAATTTTCTCTGCATGGGAAAATTTTTGGTATTTTAAGGTCTTTCAAGAAAAAATAAAGCAAAAGGTAATACTACTCAGCATCATTACTAAGTTTGGCATTGAAAGTTGCCAAACATTTCGTTTTTCCTCACCAAGTCCCATCCTTTTTACTTGACGTGATTACTTACCAACAAGCGAAACTTTTGGCATCTGACTCACTCCTCCAAAATTGAAGAAAAGGATGAATTTTTTGACAGTGATTGGCAATGTCTGAATTGTGGAAAAATTGCTAAAAATCTGGATCTCTCTGGCAGCAGTGTACCTAAAGTGGGTCAGAAAGTCAAGGTAGTGATTAGATGATTTGATTTAACCCCAAATACGCGAACAATGAATGACATGCGGTGTGGAGCAGAATTCGACTCCATGTCAAATTGTAAAACGCTCAAAAAGCTTATCCAGGTAGAAGAAATTGGTCTTATATAAAAAGTTTTGTAAATATTGAATGGACCCATGGATTACGATAATGGACTGTTCTTATGTCAGTTGGTAGGAGAACTCAGGTCTCTGGAGAGATTCTTTCTACTCCAAATATTACGCTAAACATCATCCGTTAAAGTTAGCGCTAATTTTTTAAAAAATGTTCTTTTTAAAAACCAGGTGAACACAGTCTAAGCTTGAAATGACTACTTCAATTTTAAATATCTCAGTTGATGCTGACACTGGGTTCTGGTAATAAAATTTAAATTTCTTCCCACTTGCCAATCATTATCGACAAATATGGCACATTCGAAATGCCCCATTCGACGCCTCAACTCCTCACAGAAAGCATAGAGACATGTGCTTCGGCTTTAAATGTCAAGACTACTGACCTTGTCGGTTTGGTTGCATGATTGAAATCCTGACATTTTGATTTGGTTAATTTGTTTAATAAATGCCCTTAGAGGTCGGTCGAATACTCCTTGGCTGCTCTGACATTTTAAACCCAACTCCCTTGCTTGTGATGGTCCCTTTCTCTTTCTAAATGCAAATCTTAGAACAACACACACCAGAATATTGCGATTAATCACCTCTCTCTCATCATTTAATATCCACAAGAGTTTTTTAAAATGCACTAAGCAAAGAGGAATCACTGCCATTTGATTGCGACAAAATTCTTGGTGTGAACTTTTTGGTGGTTTTATTTAGATTTATCTAGAGATGGATTGTCGATTATGCAAGATTTGAGCATCTCATCGAAGTTCAGAGTTAAGCAAGACTAGATATGCACACGCAAAAGCTGCAAATTATGTTCCTTTCACATTTATGAGGGCTTTTGATCATTGCTAGAATGCCTTCTCCACTGAATGTCACGTTGATTTTGGGTGGCAAACAGTTTTGTTAAATATTATGATAGAAGCCCTTTTTCCCTAATTCTGGTAAACCACTCTGCTGATAATGCTATTTAAATCGAAATTACCGTAACAATAAAAGATTAGTCGCTAATCAGGATTAGCAGCAAATTTACCATTTCAAATTGTCTAGCGCATTTGGCTCTTTGTTTGATATGTAGTAGGTGACAGCACAAATGATTCTGGTCACAAAGCTTCACTCAATTAGGATCATTTTCCCTTTTGAAATATGCATATTTGCCCCTGACTTTAAAAAGGCAAATACAAGTTGAATGATTGGTAAAAAAGGTTTGAATGCTGCCACCAAAATTGACATCGATTCCGACAGAGGTTTTCGTTTAAAAACCACCTAGAAGTCAAATTTTTACCAGGCTTTTTTTGCAACTATCACACTGTTCTCGCCACCACTCAGCATCACTGGAAACTAGTCAAATTCCATCAGTTTGTTCTTGTAAAAGAATCCTTTTTGGATTAAAAGTGAACTTTTAGTTCAATGAGCAATCAATGTGAAAAAGAAAAACAAGAGGAAGCGTCCGAATTGAAGGCATGTTTGCAAAGAAAGGCCTAATTTAATTAGAATTGTCAGAGAGGAAGTCTTCTACTTCAACAGGCAGCAAAAGTGGCCTTTGTGTGCACGCATACGTAATCTTGAATTGGCAACAAGTTGACGTTTAACTAGAGATAATAAACTTCGTGTTTAGTTACAAAATGCTGTGTGCAGTTGCAAATCACCCTGTGAATTCAAGTTAGGCAAACAGGAGGGACACCTACCCACCACTGCACCCCTTTCCATCCGCCTCACTTAACAGAAGCAGGATACATTTGACTGTGAATGTGTCCATGTGCATGCAAACACACAGTTAAGAAAACACAAAACGGCCCAGTGGCACGTGTTAATGTCCAAATTAGAGCATTTGTTTGTCTAGGAATCAAAATAAGTTACATAACGATGGGTCTAAATGTGGGCCGCCATTCAATAGGATTATTTCTTGATAATAAATACCGTGGGGTATTCTATAACACTAGACATTTTAAAGAGTTGCAGAATTTCTTTTCGAGTGTTCATAGAATTTACCTTTCGTAGGTTCGTGGTTTGTTTTGGCACAAAACAGTCAAATAGGATGGCAGAACATTCTGCTTATGGGACTAGAATTTAAATTTTATGGTCAAAGCATCGCAACACTTTGTGTACTTTCTCGTCTGGCTGACAGAGTGTACGTACACTTCGAAAGAGCACAAAAATAGCAGTTTTAAATTTAAGAGAAAGATATTGTAGTTTAAAATGTATGGCCAAAAGGATGATCGTGGAGCGGGATCTGCTAGCGAAGGCATACCTGAGCATCAAAAGGAGGAGGACAACTGTTTCAACTTTCTTTAGGCTTTGCAACAAGCATTTAAAATCAAACCCTCCCCAATGCAAATCAAACCAAACGTGAACATCTGGATTCGACAGCAGCCCGCAGATTCCCACATACCGTCAAATAAACTGTTCCGAGAGTGTCAAATGCAGGAGTGGGCAACTGGTGGCATCAAATACTCCTGTGTTAAGAAGCCTGTATCTTGCTGCCTAATGAGTGCTATTTAATTTGCTTCTTAATTAGTAACCTAATAGACGCAATCAAAGTTGATGACGCCAGCGGCCATTAAAATGTATTTTTTACTTACGATTTGATTCGAGGTTCTTTTAGCTTATCCGATAAATTTGTGGCCCCTTCGAAAGTATGGCAAATTTCCCATAAAATGAACACTTTTGATTGAACTAAATGTATTTTCGTACGGAAAAAAGTCACTACACGGTAAATACGTGACTATTCTTTTCAAAGTTATACAACCAGCTACGTTTGCAGAAGCAATCAAAATGTTTTTTACAGCACCTACTGTATCTTTGTAAAAATTTTTCTTTCAATTAAAAGCATACGACTACTTTTTCTTTTGTGAATGAGTTACATTAGCAGTACTTGACCTTTTATAAAATCAATGAAAATACCAATTTTACTTAACTATAATGAAATCAGAAAAATTCCCTGTTTAGGCATTTAACTAGGCTTTTAGGTGATCATCATGGGATCCTGGCGAATTTTCTTAAGAGATATCAATGAACTCAATACAGTGACCATAAACAGGGAATGGAATACTTTGAAAACTTTGCAAACAATTTTTACGTAAAGCCACTGAGAAGATCGTTGCATAACTGATTCATTCAAGATTTTATGCACAAAACCTCCACTAAATTACTCATAAAAGGGCAAATGTAGTTTCTATTTATTGGGTCAACTTGAGAAGAATTTTGTTTTGTCCATTCCACTGGTAATGATGATATCAACATACTTCATGGGCATGGTTTGCTACCCATTATTATAAAAGGGTTCAACAATTTCTCTTCTTGTCTATTTGATAATTGTCAATTCAAGAATTATCATTGTTGCTCCACCTGAACGCGAAGAATAAACAAACCCTAAATACTTCCGAATGTAGAGAAAGTAATAGCATGAGTTAGAGACGATAAAATAGGTTTGCATACTTCTCTAAATGAAAATGGGAAGAGGGGCTTTAAATAGTGATGTGGGATGCGAATTGCAATAAGCGCCCGGCAGGTGGCAGAGGACGAGTCCGATTGAGGTCTCACAAGGGGCAGTGTGGGAGTGTGCACAGAAGCTAAAGGCAGTCAATCCTTATCTATTACGAATTTTGCCGAGAGTTGTGCGGTATTTTTACATTTTCAAGCCCTCCCACCACCACCATCAGCAGCAGTAGCGGAGTGGAGTGGATTGAAGAGATGCAGTGTCAAGATTGCGCGGTCTCGCTAGCTCTTAAGGTAGATAAGTGAGTGAGAGGGGCAGAGGGGTGACTTCCTACGGCGTCCGATTGATAACGCTTTGCACGCAATGCCCACTTATTTAAATTCCACAATAGCATCCCCCAGGCCCGTTTATAGATTGCATCTCCCTGCAGTGGGTCGAGAAAAAATGTCGAAAAATTGAAGCGATTGAGGCACAAGCCTCATCCAATACGTATTTATTTATAGTATGCCCACTTCTCAATCTATCGAAACGCCGTCAGCTTCGCCCTTGAATACCTCCTAAAAACCTTGTAAAGAAGGTCAGTCGGCTTTTTACGAGGATGTGCATTACATGGGGACTCTTGCATGAATTTTTCGCATTATGCATTCGTGATAGATGGTTTCATATAACTGAATCGAACCACCCTACTCACAACGCACCTCTAGCCCACATGTGCAGTTTTACGTGAAAAGGCGTGATACCATTATTGCAGTTCACATTAATGTTGACGCCAAGATTGTTCATTTCACAGACTGTTGATTACTTTACATTAAATCATTACCACTCAAAGTATGTCCTTGTTCTTACTTATGTTCTTAAATCTTCTTTTAATAGCAAAAGAATGGCTCATGGTTCTAAGCTGAAATCATTGCATGAACTAGTTAGTAGATTACCTCGGATACTACCCGGCAAAATTTTTAATCAAAAAACTGAATTTATTTGTTTATTTGGCAATTATTTCCCAGACTGTCTGTTCTCTGGGGAAATTTGGCCTCAACTGATGTTAAAATCTGATCTCAAACCTGGCATAATCACTTCGCGTTATCGCATTGTCTGTTAAAAGGCTGTTCGCGAACAGAATTCCCGAAGGAGCTGTTGACTGTCCTTCTCCCTCTTCTTCTTTTTCTTCTTCTCTCTTTCTTCATCATTAGCCTTTTTTAACTTGAGACTTCATTTCTTGCTTTCCTCCATCCTCCCTCTTTTCCACTCCGCTTTCTGTAAAGTAATAAACATATTAGATTATTCCCTTCCTCAAGTCAAACCTCACAAGCCCTGCCCCTCGATAAGGCAAAGCGAAAATAAAACCTAAATGGAGCAAACGAAATTCCTCTAGCAAAAAATGTCAGCTTGGCTAAAAGTTGAGATAAGAAATCTAATTAGTGTGTCTCAGGGAAATTTGTAATTATCTTTACCACTCCCGTGCATAATGTGATCGGAGCATTATTCAATTTCCGCACCACGTAACGTTTCAAATATTTTCATTTCCATCTCGTACCTACCAAACACAATGTTATAAACACTGTGACTTTTTTTGAGAAGCAGAGGTTCATGTATCGTGGCATCCTAAACATAGGTGATGCATTTACTTATAAGGGAATGAGTTAGCCTAGAAAAGAAAAACGCAACTAATTGAAACTACTGTCGTGTTCAAATTGCAAGATTAAAAATTAGTTAAAGCCATTCCAGCCTTTCTATCACACCGAAATATTTTTGAAGCTTTAAGGGGATCAGCTTATATTTAAAGCCTCATTTTGATAAATTTTGCGTGAAATAACTCGTCATGGGTAAAAAAGTTTGCAGACTCATGAATCGCACTCTTCCAGAAGCTAAGCAAAAAAAAGCATACATTTTCGTACATGCACAATATTTTAGCAATATTGCATTCAAATATTGTCCAATCACTTGATTTTCATAAAATGCAAACTCTTGTTTCCTATTATTCCTATCTCGTGACCGTCTGTTATTTTTGAAGCCAAAAATTAGCATTAAATAAACAAGATTCTAGACATTTAAGGCCTTGCCAAGTTCAAGACTGGAATCACTATGATTAGGAAGCACCGTTATGATGATTCGGCATATGTGCCATTGTTTTGTAAAGCAGCGAATTGTTTCAACCCTATTTTGGCAGATGAGTTTACAAGTAATAAGGGAGGTTTTATTTCTTTACCCAGCACAAGTTGGTGCCAACTAGTGTCTGTTTATCATCTTCTGTGTGTGGTGCTTAACTCCGAAAGCGAGGGTAAAAAAGTCGGAAACTTTTCTCTTGGCAGTGGTTTGGGCTTTAGTGCTTTTTGTCGCCTCTCTGATGCCTCGCAGAGGGTCTTTTTGGAGCGCCACCGTGAGGTGCCCTGTTGCGGCGGTGCAACCTGACGATGGCATTCCCACCCGCCTCCAACTTCGTGAGAAAAGGTTTCATGCAAACCAACAAAGGTATGGAGAAAGTAGAGAAGAGAAAATGGAAACCAAAAAACGTAAAAACTATGAAGACACTATGAATGTGGTTTTTGTGTGGACACCCTGCTTTGCTGCAGTTTTTGCAAAAACCAGCACGCACAAATGTTTTCCGAACTTTCTTTGGGCGCATCTTTGTGAATTCCTACGATAGACACTTTGCTAAGTAGAAATTTTGTAGACCAAATATTTCCTGCACTTTAGGTATGAATAATCCCATGACCGCGACATGTGATGTGTGGATTCAATGATTGAATTTTTTATCTTTTGCTGCCTAAAAAAATAGTTAATGGGAATTTAAAATAGAGCTTAAATCTGCTGGGAACTGATGTGATTCTTTAAACAACACTTTAAAGGGTAATCCTTACTTCAAGTTGCCTTGATATTTTTCAGTTATCTATTAAAATAGAATAGGAGGATTTCAAGTTACCTAGATGGCAAATCACCTCAGAGTGTACGAAAACTTTACTAAGAAATCGACTGCAATCTGACGTGAAGTCTTCAAGACGAGGGTAGATATAAGCTGTTTTGTTTCATAAAAATAAAAAAACTTCCCTTAAAATTTTGATTAGGACGTTTTTGGAGACATCTAAGGTAATGATATCTTCGACGTCTTTGTTACAACCATTAAGGTTAAGAGTGACTGATGATGCTTTTTAACATGTATTATGGATTAAGTCTGGTAGATGATTAAGCTGGGAGAGTGAGAGTAAACACACTAAACTTGATTCCACTCAGGTCCTAACTAATGTAGAAACTTCCCTCCATGTTTGCGTACACGCCTGCAGACAAAAAACAATGTTTGGTTATTTTGACAGCTTTTTTGGAGGAAGACAAGCAGCAGGAGTGGTGGCAGGAGCAGAAGCTTGGTCTTGCCCTTAAATTCACACTCCCCTGACCACTAGACTGTCCCCACTGACTGACCGACCACCACCCTCTCGCTCTTCTCGGTCTCTTGCAGACATCAAAGTGTCAAATGTTGAATTTGCAACTCCGTTCCACTACACGTATATACCATACGCTGAGAAGCAGGCAGGCAAGCAGGCAGGCAGAGAGGCAGAGAGGGAAGAAGGGAATGAGATACCTACCGTAGCCGTCTGTCGGGGAAGCAAAAGTTAAACTCCTCCTAAACCCCGATAAGAAGGCATTAAATATTTAAATGGTGGTTGGGATTTCTTCTGCTGAAGTTGGGCGTGCGTGCACGCACGTACGCGCGTCAAACTACGGGTGACACATCTTTGAATAAATTTTTGTCCCACCGTTTAATTTAAGTCTCCTATATTTCCATAGCAAATCATGCTCTTATACTAAATGGCTAACTTACCCAACCAGTGAGTCTGCCACTAGTTTACATTATCAAAAGTCAAGACTAAAGGCGATACTTGGCGTTAAAGGTGAAAATAACTCCCTCAGCCATTTTATCCGCGTAAAACTGCTGAATTATCCACAATAAATAAGTGTGTACCGACCTTCGTTTTTCACATTTGTTCTCCACTTTCAACAGGAGCTTTATCGTTTTAAAGAACATACTTCCACTGCGAGTAATTTCAAGCTGATAAAGTCAGGTAAACTATGATTAAGTATTTATTCAAAATTTTGCGAAAATTCCGTTGAAACCTCCATAACTATACTCAACGGCGCTCGAACCATTGGCTGAAGCACAACAAAATGAATCACATACGTGTGCTTCACCGCTCGAACAGGTTTCGAGGCGATGGTGGGTAGTGGTTCAGGCACACTAAACCTTTTGACCCATATTATTACTTTTTGCGCTCTTGATACATATTGGTTATGAATTGGACAAATGTGTTTTAACCCCATATGGTTACAAGGTGATTTATCACCTTCGTAAATTTTGTCCCTTATTGCACAGTTCCTACTCTTAGTGGTTTGGACGACACATACATGCATACATGCGCCCACACACACACGCACACGGACACCCACAAAATCGTACACATATGATTTGAATGCCCTCCATATGTGTGAGCGAAAGGGGCGAAAACTGACCCAAAAGCAGGAAAACACGTGCGAATGTGGTACAGCCCCTGGAGAAGGGGGTGGCTCCGGGTCTACGCTGACAGTGAAATTTGTTTGTTTTTCCTGTCACGCTACCAGAAGTTTTTTTATCTACACCTCCTCCAGAGGCATGGAACCTTTTATATGGCATAAAGATTCCGTTTACAATTTCTTGGGTTGGTATTTTTCATTCTATTTTGAATAAAATACAGCTATTTCATCTACTTTGGAGTTTATGTATTTTACTCGATTTAAAGTGCTCACTGACAGTCCACTTTGCTTAGTTTTGATTTTC